TCCCTTTTTCCTCCCCCCACAAAGAGCGCGAACAGGCTCTGCAGAGAAAGCCGAGCCTGGGGCACCAGGGAGGACACAGGGGTGGGCTGGGAGGGGGCTGTCACCTCCTCTGTGATGCACAGCTGCAGTTTGTGACATTGTCCTGCTCCTTGTGCCATCCAGTTCGTGGATTCTGGTCCTTGAGGGTGCCCAAAGCAGAGGAGGTGCAGGTGTGGCCCTGCTGGCCCAAGGTTTTGCTGGCCAGGCCATCAGGAGGGGCTTTGTGAGGGTGACACTGCCTCTGCAGAGCTGGAGGGGAGCAAAGCACCATCTCTGCTCCATCTGCAGGGGCTTTCTGGGATCTGAGCAATGCCATCTGCTTTAGCCACTGCAGAGGGACCTTCCAGTCCCTGGGACCCTCCAACCCCTGTTTCGTGGCACAGAAATGAGTGATTCTGCTTAGGCAGAATAATTGGCTGTGTGCTGTGATCAGGGCTGTGCTGTGTGGCTGCAGGTCCTTGCTCTGGTAACCAGCCACTGATCCTGGCTTGTGCAGCCTCTCCAGGGATTTGGGGTTTGCCTGCAGGCCCAGGTCTGAGCGGGCTCATTACTGATTCCTCCTTGTGGGGGTGATTCTCCTCGTCTGTCTGTTCCCTGGATCTGTCCATGAGCCAGTGCGTTCCCGCAGAGGAAGCGCTGTGCTGATACTGCATCACAGTGATTCCAGGAGAATGTGCCTGCTGCCACATCCAATCCATCACAGCAACCCACGGCAGCCGTGGGATACCTCCCTCCCTCCCTCAAATGCATCATCCCCTCACAGATCACAATCAGCTGTTGGACAAAGCCTGCCTTTCACAGTGCCATGGTTACTGGTAACAGACTGGAATCTGTGATTTCCTTCTTTTCCCTTGTTTCCTGTTCCTTTCCCTCCCACCCACTGGTGCTCACCCCCTCTCTCTCCAGTGGCTCCAACAACTCAGGGATTATTCCCAATCAGCATCACTGAGGAATGCTGATTGCATCAGTTCCTCGCAGAATGCTTTTATGGTTCCCATGGGGAAATTATTTGAGCCAGACAAATGAAAAATATTTACCTGTGTCTGGTGCTGAGGGCCAAGGGCTGCATCCAGCTCATCCTGTCCTGCAGACACTCCCAGCATTCCTGGACATTCCTGCATGGCTCAGGGTGCTGAGCATTGGTGCTGAGCCCTCCTGCCTGGATCAGGACACTCTGAAACACACAGATGTGAGGGAGAAAGCCAGAGCATCCTCCTGAAGACAATTAATGGATTACAGTGAGTGTGGAATAATGCAGAGGCAAAGAAATCCCTCTCTCCAGAGGCAGTGGGATAGCAGTAAAATCATGCTGCACTCTGCCTCACTTCATAAAAACTTCTTGTTATTCCTCAAGGAGGAATTGCAAGAGAGGACAGCATCTCTGTGCACTCCTGGATTTACAAATGCTGTTTTATGTATCAGTGTAATCTCTCTTGCAATTTATATGGGATGCAATGAGTAAACACCAGCAGTCCTGGCAGGAATACTGACTCTGGAATGGATGCAGAGAAGGGAGGACAAGGTAGGAAAGCCTCCCCAGAGCAGGTATTTTCCAGCTGAAAGGCAGATTTGTAGAAGGCAGATTTGCAGATCTCTCCAGGATTTGTGGGGATGGTCAGGATGGGGGGGACCACGGAGCCACTGGCTGCTCCGTGACTGATGCAAATTCTGCTGGAGCTGCAAAGAACTGAAAATCACAGCAGAAAAGTCTTGAAAACTTTTGGGACATCAGAGCACAGCAGTGAAACATGGATAGAGCAAGCAGAGCAGCACCAGTGCCTTGGGAAGGGGCCTGGCAGCCATGGAGTGGAGTGGCTGCAAGTGCCTGGAGCTGGTGGGAGCCTCTCCAGGCATTGCCACGAGGAGCTTCAGTTAATTAAGCCCTGAATGATGAATTATGTATGGAGCATAAAACAATGTCCTGATTTCTGGCTGGGGAATTAAGCAGCCGTGGGCTCAGGTAGGTGCTCCCAGGCTGCAGTCCTGGTGCACAGGGAGAGATTTTGCTCCATGGGGGGATAAAGGACTGTGAAGGGGTGACCCACAGAGGGACATTAAGGGATGCAGAGGTGACTCTGGGGACACAGCAGCACCCTGGGCAGGCTGTGCCATCCCTCCAGCCCCACAGGGATGCTGCTGTGCATCCCTGCCTTCCCCTCAGAGGGTTTGTGTCCCTCAGCCCCCTCCAAAGCCCAGTGGGCAACAGGGAGCCTATTTTCAAGCTGTGCAAAGTCTTCTTCTGTTGACAAGGAACAAGGACTTCCCTCCTGAGCGGGCCCCCAGCTGTGCCCGCTGGCACGGGCTCAGAGGGGCAGCGTGCCAGCCTGGCCTCAAACCCCCCATTCAGCGCCGTGCTTGGGAGGCAAAGCAGGCAATCAGCCCCGTTCCCAAAGCCAAAGGCTGGAGTGGCTCTGCCATCTCAGAGGCACAAAGGCCTTTTCTGCCCTGGGACAATATTGCCACTCAGCAGCAGTGCCCCCAGCCCGGGCACGGCTCCTCAGAGCCGCCTTTCAGCTGCACTACGGGGCATCTCTGCTTCCAAGCCCAAAGCTGAGGTTATTTTTCCACTTCCTGGTGCCATTGAAGCCCCTCTGGGCACAGTGGAGGAGGGCTGAAAGCTTCCCAAGGGAGCTGCAGGGAGGAGGCTGCTCCCCTGGGTGGGCAGAGGGCAGGAGGGGCAGCAGCCTGGCACTCCCTGTGCCACAGACATCTATGGAAAATCCTTTCCTTAGGATTTTTCCTCCTGAGAAGCTGGGAGGCCTCAGGAACAAAATGTGAACAATGATTATCTGCTGCTGTGGAATGCAACAGGTGGATCTCTGATTGGGCCATGTTGGTTGTTTCTAATTAATGGCCAATCACAGTGTGCTGGCTCGGACAGAGAGCTGAGCCACAAGCCTTTGTTATCATTCTTGGCTATTCTATTATTTTCTAGCCATCTGATGAAATCTTTTCTTCTATTCTTTTATTATAGTTTTAATATAATCTATATAATAAAATAATAAATCAAGCCTTTTGAAACCTGGAGTCAGATCCTCTTCTCTTCCCTCATTCTCAGACCCCTGTGAACATGGTCACACCCCTGCCTGCTCTCTGGGTCCCCATGGGAGCCCCAGGAGCAGCTGCACCCTCAAAACAACCCTCAGTGTATTTGGGATGGCTCACACAGAGTCAAGGCTCTGTCCTGGTGGGCTCTGTCCCCAAAGCATCTCTGTCCCCAAAGCATCTCTGTCCCCATCTCCATCCTGCGGCTGCAGGAGCTGCCTGTGGGGTCTGTCCCACCCTGCTGCAGGATCCCAAAGCTGGATGTGTGCAGGGTTCCACAGGCTGGTTGGAGCCCCTGGCAGCGCTGTCCCTGCCCTGGGGGCACAGGGGAGCTGTGAGAGGGCGGTGATCGATCGATGGATGGGGCACAACTGCAGAGCAAGTGCGGCAGCACTGGCGGCTGCGGCACCGCAGGCGCGGAAATAAATGAGGGATTGATTTTCTGGGCAGCTCGGATCTCATGGATCTCAGCTGCTGTGACAAGGGGAGTGCAGGCATGGCTGGCACCGTGGGGCTGTCACCTCCCTGTGCTGCCCGGTGCTGGGGCTGGGGGCACCCAAAATGAAAACAACCCTTTGCCAAAAGGCATAGCAACGCTGAGCGGCTCCAGGGGACAAACTCCAGGCTGGGGACATTGGGAAGGACAGAAAGTGGGTGTCCTGTGCTCCCTGTGGGACCCCCCGGTCCCTTTCATTCCTGTGGGACCCCCCGGTCCCTGTCATCAGCCCCTTCCCAAACCCCAGTGAGCCGCACCAGAAAGGCACCGTCTGCCTTGAACATCTTATCTCCAAGCTGCTCCTGCTAAGTCACATCTGACTTAATTATGGTAATTAAGATTGACATTAATACAAGATTAAAATGTGAAATTAAAATTAGCTGTGAAACTTATCTGAGTTTTTTAGAGCAGTTATTGATTCTCTCCACTGTTAATCAAAGGTCTGAGGTAATGGCCGATGAACACGGTGCTAATTAGAGCAATGCCCATAAAGTGGCCTCGGGAGATGTTTGTCTTGTTTCTTGGAATGCCTCAGGTTTCTGACCACATCTCTGGCCCTGAGTGGTGCTGGAGGAGCTCAAGAGGCCACGCTTTGCCCACTCCTGTCTGTTCTTTTCCTGCTGTGGAGCTGGGCTGTGCATGCAGCCGTGCCCAGCCATGCCCAGCCATGCCAGGGCTGCCGGAGCTGCTCCGGCTGCAGGGGTTTCAGGTGGCAGCAGGTTCCTGGTGTTTCAGGGGAGCAGCAGGAGCACGGAGATCCTGGGAGCTCCACACACACCCCGCTGTTCCTCCGGGTGAGATTTCACAGCCCATTAGGCCCCGGCGCCGCTGCGGGAGGGAAATGATTCCAATCACAGCAGCTCTGGGGAGTGCATCCCACCGTGCATCCTGTGCTCCATCCCAGCCCGTCTCCCCACACACACTCCAGCCTCCCAGCTCGCCTGAGCCCCCAGCAAAGCTGTTGGAGGGACAGGAGGAGCCCAGGCAGCACAATTCCCAGCAGCAGGTCCCTCCTTCCCCGGGTGTGATGCCCTGGATGCCCATGGGGTGCAGGGGCCCACCTGCACCCCCTAAGCCTGGCTGAGCAGCTGAGGCTTGAGCCTCACCGTTCCCTCTCCATCACTAACAACTTTTGCCACTTCGTGGGCATTTCTGCATCACAAATACGGTGTTTGGTCTCTTTTTCCTGCCTGTTTCCATGGCACTGCTGTTATTATCTGGCTATCTTAGGAGTTTACTACAATGCAGATGAGCACAATAAAAATCACTCAAGGAGAACTGCTAAATGAGAGACAGCTCTTATCTTTAGCACCGGCAGGTCGGGAGGGAAGAAGACGGGGAGCAGTGCAGGCTGGGCTCGCTGTGCCACAAGCTTTGTTCGACCAAATTAAACCTCTGAGCAGGCGAGTCCCAGTTGGGCATGAGAGTAACAGTGTTAAATAACACGCTGCACCTCTCGCTGTTTTCTCTCTCTTTCTTATTTTTGTTCTTCTCGAGCCTGCTGCCCAACTGCTCCCAGCTGGCAGCGGCTGGGAGCGACACCGGGAATGCAAATGACCTGCAGCATCCCCGGGCTGCTGCCTGCGCTTCCAGCGGCAGGAGGGAGCTCAGCAGGACCGGTCCCCGTGTTTGGACAGCTCCTTGCCTCGGTGCGTGCTGCGGGGGCACCGGTGGTGACACCGGAGCGCGATGGTTGTTGCTGAGGTAACGGGATCAGTGTAATTGTTCCCGCGAAGGTAGCAGGGGGACTTCTCAGATGGCAGCATCAACAAAGCGGCTCTTTAGGGAAGGGGCTGGGCTGCGTCTCGTGCTGTTTGACACTGGTGTTGTGCACTCGTGGCATCGCTCTGGCCCTTTGAGCTGACAGGTCCAGGGAGGACCAGGCGCTCTGCCCGGGAAGTGATTCACAGTAAACATTTCAGGGATTTCAGGAGAGTCAAGGCTCTGTTTCTGTTCTTCTCAAAGTCAGTGTAATCACACCGTGTGCTCTGCGTGCTCAGCAGGGGCCTGCTGGGAGCCCTGGCCAGGTCCCGAGCAGGATCTGCCTGTGTGCTGCTTCCTTTGCTGCAGGACTGAGGGTACCCCAGCTCTCACCCATGGCCAGCCCAACATTGTGGGGGGCCCTAAGCAGCACCCACAAACAGTGGTTCTCTATGCCCCAGTGAGGTCAGACAGGTCACAGCTGCAGCTCCCTCCAGCAGCAGGGCCAGAAATCCCGGAGCATCCCTGATCCCAAGGGAGCCATCAGCCCCTCTGCCCTGTTCACAGCCTGCTTTGGGGGAGCTGGAGGAGAGGGAAAGAGGGTACATCTGGGCTTGAGGAGGGAGGGGGAAGGGCTTGGGTTGCTGAGGGGGGTTTGGATGCTGTAGGGGGCTTAGGGACAGGGGGCAGTGAGATGGGACAAGAGCCAGGCTGATGGGGGGCCTGCAGTAGGAGCACTGATCAGGCTGGGGGAGGACCAGGTCTCCCGGAGGGGGAAGAAGCCGAGGAGGACGGAGAAAACCGCGGTGCTGCTGCGGGAGCCGTACCGGGGCTGCTC